TCTCTCTCCATGAGGACGCGGAAAATAGGGCTGCAATTTGTTTCGGGGACGTTTCACGATTGGAAAGCTGCCGGTTATTAGGCATGCAATGAAAGTTATTGCGATGGTTGTCCGCAGCAAATAAAAAAGCAAAAAACCGCTTGGAACCCTCTAAATTACATTTGGCGAAGTTCGCATGGGCGAAACTTGCGGCCCAACCTCACACGAGTCTCATTGACGTACTGTTCTGTTGAGACTAGTGTCAGTCTTGGCGAATCCAGCGACTCGCTAGGGAATCGCGGGGTACGAGCGATGCGCCAGCGGATCGAATTATGGATCAGCGGTTCGAATGATGAACCAGCAGTTCGAGCGATGTACCAGCGATTTGACAGCGTTTGAAAATGACGGGAGTCGCTCCCGTTCCCACGTCTACCCTGCCACTTTCTCGTTCTCACGAGGGCATGAGAGAACGAGAGGGCACGAGGAGCCCGGGAAAGTGGCGAGGGTAAACGTGCGAAACGAAGCTACTCCTGCCACTTTCTAACACTGTCAGGTCGCTGGTACATCGCTAGGACCGCTAGTACATAGTCGAACCGCTGCTGCATAGTTCGATCCGCTAGCCATCCTTCGTACCCAGCGATTCGCTAGTTAATCCATGGATTCGCGATGTCTAGCGCCGGTTTGATCGCTGAAACGCGTTAGAGATGAGGTCATGTAATGAGACTTCCGTGGGGCAAAGGGCAAATTACGCCCGTATGATCGGCGCGCAATATGATTCATGTAACGCTTCGAGGGTTTCTAGTAGATTTTCACTTTTTCAGCGCTGGTAGACCAAACTCCCACGTTCTTTATTTGTAGAAGCAACTACTTAGGCAATGGAAAATATCACAGGTTGAGAAGCTGGACAGAATCACAACTTAGGTTCAACAAAGGGACTCGAATTTAGCGCAGCTTTAGGCTGTGTTCAGGTCGCGTTTACCCTATTGAAGGCCATGAATCAAAAAGAAGGTCTAGTTGAATGACTTCTACATTATTTCTCTTGTTACCTCCCTTTTGAGGTGGAAACAGCAACAATATCAGTTCAGCGCGAAATTTAAAACTCATTTGTCGATGTGAATGCCTTCAAGAATCGAATTGTGTAAGGCTCACCTTGACCATCGTCAACGACCTTTGTAACTAGACCCCATTGTAGGGCTTCGTCAGAAGAAACAGCTCGCCCTGTCAATACCATGTCGAGAGCTCTAAAAAGCTGGGTTCGGGCACATTTTGATGACATACCATCACTGGGTGTCGGGAAGATTGTGTAGCGGCGATGCGGCAGCAAAATATCGTCGTGCGCGCCATTTGCATCACGGCAAGCGACAAGGTGGGTCACAGCGTCCCAAGCATTCACAATTGCTCAGACTACAGTCAAACTAGCCTTGAGGGGCGATCTAATGAAATCATTTTGTTAGTGAGCATAACAACAGCCCCCTTTAGCAAATGTCATATGAAAGCCAGGAACCGACGTCACTCACCTGCCTAGACCGACGATGCGAGGGAGGCGAACAGTTCCTCCGTCGATGAGTGGGACGCCTACTCGTCGGCAGAACACACCAAACGTTGCTGTGCGCCCACATACTCTCATGTCAGCTGAATAGGAACGTAGTTGAAAAGAAGACGTTCAGGTTTTTATCATAAAGCTGTAGGGAAAACAATAAATGCTGAGTTTTTATTATTGCGGCATTGATAATTACTACAAAAATCTTCTAAGGGAGGGGGTTGGTGCGTTATTTTGTTCGAGAAATCGACAAGAAGTGCATGAGGAACATTAGTGGGAGAAAAAGCAAAAAGCACCATAGAAAACACTGAAATTCCCTTGTGGCCGGCCGTGGTACGACGGAGAGACACAGCGCTGCGAGGAGAGGGAAAACGCGAGATAGTACGTCGTACGCGAGAGGGCGCAGACGCCACGTATGCCGCGACAACGCACAAGATAAGGCGTTACAAGTAGCGCATTGGCCTCGCAGTTAAGAGTCGCGACAGTGTCGCGACTCCTGCGCTTAGGCACTCCTCTTTTTCACTATAGGGGGCTACTTCTTGGCACCTAATCACCTAATCCTGTCCCGTGGCTTTGAACGAAAACGTTCGGTCCTGAAAGGACCGGAGCCAGAAAGTGACCTGTCTAGACACCTTGCTACCAGGATTCTACCAGGATTCAAATGTTATCCCAACTTGCCACCACATATAGAAAAATTGGAAACTTAGGTAAACGGCCTGAAATTTGCGGAAAGAATCCTTCTTTTCTTCGCTCAGTCCCGCCATCGGGGAATCACGTCGGTGTTACCGTCACCAACGTCTCCCTCTGCTCTGCATCTCTGCTAAAGTGTCTGGAGCCTGACGGCAAGGAACTAGTAACTGGGTTACCCAAATGGTGGGCGGTCGCGAAACCCTGCCGCGTCACTGAGGCCAATTTTGCCATCAGCCGTTCCCTTGGTGGTTCCAGCCTTCCTCTATAAAAGCTGCATTTTCCCTTCTTCAGCATCCAGTTCATCGTGTTACCTTCTTTTTAAGACGTTGAAGAAGAAATAAACGATCATTCCAAAATTACCCATCAAAGACAACTCCAGTCCACCGGCCACGGCGTAGCCCTCAACGGCCGCGATTAGTGGTTTCTCCAACTTCATTATCGAAGGTCCCTAAATAGATTCTATTAAGAATTAGCATGCAGCTTGGATAGCTAAAACTGAGGTTGCCGGATTTCATTTATGTCTATTCCTGATCTTAGATAACAGTCAACAGTGTGATTTCTCAAACCCTTCTTTTTTAACTCAAAACTGATAAATGCACCGCCTGTGAGTGGTGTGTGTTCCATGGGGTACCCCAAGAGGCCCGTCGCGCGACGAAGTCAGAGACGCAGGCGCGGCAGAGGACGAGTCGCACCGCATACTGTAGCGGTTAGGCGTCAAGTTCAATATAACGCATTACAGTACGTCCCACACCATTCACTCCACGGCGTGGGCTCAAAAATGCGATATCTGCTTAGTCACGCCGCTTATGCTTGTTTTCTTTGTGCTGGTTCGTCCTCCAGACTCAGTTACCCCCCGACTACTCCTTTTTGTCATGACCTTTCCTCGCCACGAAACTTATTGTTTGTCGTGCATGTTAAATTTGAACCGCTTTAACTGTTTTTCAGCCAAGATAACCAGATTTTTTTTTTCAAATTTGCCTTTTCAGAAGTGAACTATTATATATGTAGTGTTTAGTTTAGTTGTTTCGAAAGGAGCAGTCGGGGGGGGGGGGGGTATGTACTATGTAGTACAAAGAAAACAAGCATAAGCGGCGTGACTAAGCAGATATCGCATTTTTGAGCCCACGCCGTGGAGTGAATGGTGTGGGACGTACTGTAATGCGTTATATTGAACTTGACGCCTAACCGCTACAGTATGCGGTGCGACTCGTCCTCTGCCGCGCCTGCGTCTCT